TGAAAACAAAATCTGGGAGGTGGGATCTGACAATCTTGTTCGAGAGATTTTTGTGGGTATTTGGTGACCGAGTTACCCGACCTCGGGTCGATCTCAAGGAAGGTCGTTCGGAGCTTTGTTTTTTATTTAATTGTCGAAATATAAAAATGAGAAAATAAACCTAAACATTCTACTCCATTTTGATGTGGTTTTATATTTAACTAAAATTCTTAATTTAATTTAACAAACATAAAATGAAAAGAACAGTAAATAAACAACAGTAAAATAATAAAAATGGTAAATGGGTAAAAAGAATAAAGATGAGGAAAGTGTTAGGGAATCGAGAAATAATTGTATCAATTTTAATGATAACTTCGAATTGTTATTCATTCGGTTAAATGATTCGATAAACACACTAATTTAGAGGTTCATATTCCATTCAGTTACGAGTAAGAATATAAACATAAATCAATGTATTCGCGTACCACCTAACATATAAGCAATACAGTTACGTGTAAACTTATTTATTTCGAGCCGTGATCAATCAACTTCGCCATTTTCGGGTTAAAAGTTGATTAAGTAGATTTAAAAGAATGTTTAGTTCTACTTAAATCATAAAAATAAATATAACTCGAAATAATATGAACAATCAACAATTCGTCATCATCATCGAACCGACACAATCATTTCCCTATCCCTAACGAAGGGTTTAGTTCGTCATGATTTTATTGACACAAATAATAAGAATAATCCAAGCTATCGTTTTACTCATAAAAACTTTCGAACGATAACTTGCGATTACGATTAAAACTTGACGTCAATATATCACTTAGAACTTTTAGGGAAATGAAAATAAACAACTTACAAGATTAAAACCAAGCTTGCATGCAAAGATCAAACTTGAAGAATATCAAGAACACTAAGAACACTCTTGGAAATATTTACATAGAAAAGAGAAGAAAAGTGAAGTTGTGAAATAAGTGAAAGAGAAGAGAGTATTTATAGGGAAAAAAAATAGAAAACTTGTAATATAAGAAAAGAAAAATGTGGAAAAGATGATAGGAAAAATGGGAAAGAAAATGGGAAAAATAGGAAAAGAAAAAATGTAAGAAAAGGTGAAATAGGAAATTTGAGAGAAAAGTTGGAATTTTCGGACAAAAACCGAAAGTGATTTTTCCGCGCGCATTCGCGCACGTCTCGGGCAGCTTTGCTTCTCGGGCTCGTTTTGGGCTCGTCCGAACTCAGAATTGAGTTCCGTTTTTTTCTACGCGTCGCTAACGAACCCCTCTATTCAATGATGTATGCCAATACAAATTTCACCCAAAATACAATTATCTAAGAATTTTTAACTTCCAAGGTGTCGGCAACTCGCTCGATTTTACGCTTCGGTCCCGTACGAACTCATCTGAACTCGAAATCGAGTTCCGCTTTTTCCTGTGTGTAGCTAACGAGCTCCTCTTTCCATTAATGTGATCATGCCCAATAACTTTCCAAAATCTTGCTCTTCCGAGATTTTCGACCGTTTCTTTATTTTACAAATACTTGAAAAATACAAGAAAAATATACAAAAATCCACACAAATACTTAAATATTACAAATCACTAAAAAACTAAAAACTAGCCAAAATCTCACAAAATTACTAAAAATACATAAAAATAATAATAAAAAACATTAATAAAAACATAACAAAAATAACACTAACAAATCTCCTTCAATTGGGAAATTGTAGAGGGTCACCCCAAACCTCTACAATTCCACAAGCAAAGTTTCATTTGGAAATTTGGGACCATTTATGGCTGGTTTCCTCCACCACATTGGACTGGTTAGGTGCAAAAAAGGATTCAGTTTCAAGAGTTCTGGCATTTTTGGGAATGCTCAAGTCATTGAATTCATGAGTTTCACCCTCCAATAAGATTATTTTGTTATACACATTGATGGTAGACAAAGGTTTTGACTCAACAGTATCTTTCCCTTTACCTACTAACACAGACCTCTCTTTGACCCTATCCTTTCTAATGAAGGTTGGTTTAACTTTCCTACCAACTGTACTAGACACATTTTCTTTTGCAGCCTGAATAGGAATAGGGATTAAGTGATTAGAGGTGGCAGCTTCCTCTTTCGAGGAGTGTGGTGCCTCTAATCCCTTTCTCGCTATCAATTCAGGATCATAAATGATTTTAGAGTTTGGCACAAGACCACTATTGACTGGGATGTCAACAGGGTTTAAAAGATTCAGGGCTTCCACCTCCATAGGGGATCTGTTTTTACTATCCTCACCTTTCTCTAATCTGGAATTATGTTCAAGCATTGCCTTATAGCTAGCATCTACTTTAGTAGTAGGACTAACCCCCGAACTACCCCCCTTATTTTTAGCCATAATTGAACCCCCCAGGTTGACTCTTAACCACTCCCCGTACTGTCCCACATTCAAAACTCTATTACGAATTTCTTTTTTCTTACTGCAATTTCGATCCCCATGCCCAATATTCCCGCAGTAGAAACAAAAATTTTGTAGATTTTCATACCTGAAACTGGCCCAATGTGATTCCCCTTTAAATTTGATTCTAGTGCCTCGAGGAATTGGTTCAGTCAGGTCCACATCAACAAGAATCTTTATTACTCTTCCATTCAAGCTGCAAGTATCTGGAACAACCACATCCTTCGCTTCCCCGAAAACTTTGCCTATTTTCAACCCCGTTTCAACCGAAATCCAGTGAATCGGAAGATCCAGAATGTGTACCCATAGCTCAACTTTGAAGTCCTCCTCATTGAATATGTTATCCTCCTGATTCCAATCTTTCAAAAGCAGTTATTGTCTGTCAAAACTCCACGCTTTCCCTCTTAGAATTTTGCATTTATCATCCTCGGATTGAAAGACAAATTGGAACAGATTATGCCCCAAAATTCTTGTAGTGAACGGTTTCTGTGTGCTCCAAATTGAGAGCAGCGTATTCTTCAGTCCTCCAAAATTAGCTCTTTTATCACCATATAATCTTCCCACCAAGCTAATCGCACACTCTTGGATTCCAGTTTCAATATCTTCATCCTCCAGTTCGACACCACTGTCTTCTTTCTTTGAGAGGTCGAATTTTTGCAGTTGGTCTATTATTTCTTGCTCCCTCGCCCTCTTAACTGCACCAATCGGATTCTTAAACCGAGATCTCACCCTTCCTGATATTCCAAAGAGGAAAGAGGGACTTGAAAGAAAAAGCAAACAAGGGAACAAAATGATGAACCAAACCCTAGCAGACAAGGAAATGTAGAATAGGATTAGGAAATAATGAAGAAGAGTCCCTATAATTCTGCCCAGAGGAAAATATTGAAGCGAGAGATGGCCGACGACCAAGGATAAAAAGAGAACTCGAAGAAACCCTGACAACCAGGACCAGAAGATCCAAAATAAACGATGGAACTACAGTGCTCTAGCGAGAGAATTTTTTTTCCAACAAGTGGAACTCACTATTTTCCACCATTTGAAATTTGTAGTTATTGAATTGGAAATTTGATATTCGATTCGTTATGCATAATTATATAAATTTTAAAAATTATATATAGTATAAATTTTGTTTATATATATATTGTTATATTCCTAATATTTTGATAACATAAAAAATAAAAACATCCCAAATCAATAAATTGCCCTTAAGACATCTCAAATTTGATAGGAAAAACATAACAATATTTTTTTAGTTCAAATTGTTTGAATTATAATTTTTTCCAAAAACGAACTTCGACGAAATCGAATATGTTAGAATGTTCTAAACGATTAGAAAATAAGTTCGTTTACGAATTGAATACTAATTAAAATTCTTGATTATTTTAACAAATTCGAATCCGTTAAAATTTCTTAACAAAATAGGTGTGATCAAATGAATGAGCATATAAGATTCTGAATAAACGTAGACGGACCACTTAAGCACAGGTTTTGCAAATTTACTTGGTGCAGAGCATTATTGTTGAGTATAATATCAGTAAATTGCCCAAATTTTGCAGTGCTTTCTCTGGGCATTAAAGTAATTTTAAATGTGACATTTGTTTTTTATTCTTGGTGGACATTATTTTTCAGAAATGCATCACATCGGTAAATTAAAAACAGATACAAAAAGAGAATCTTACAGCTGTTATTGTTGTCGTTTTGTACGCCAACAAGTAATAAGAGAGCTCCATAGCCTTCATATTCCCCAATGTCGCGCTGTTGAACTACGCGGCTGTCGGTTCACTACAAATGGAGAACTGAAAAAAAAAGTTGTCACTCTTGCATGTCCGGAATATATGAGGTGATTTTGTTTACTCTGGTTCTCTCTTAACAGGGCGCGACCGAACTTGCTGACGTGTTCCGCAGGTTCTAGTCGCGTCCTTTTTGGAGGAAAATTTGAGTA